ACAAAGCCTCCAACCTTTGATGGAACCATCCGGCCCCTTCTTCGCCGCAACAGTAATGGGTGAAGCCCATTGTACGGGACCATCGACTTCTTCAAGGATACCGTTCCCGATTAATTCATTGATTTTCTTCGTAACAAAATCAGCTTTTTCTCCCGACAATGGGCGTGACTTCGAATAGACCGGTGGATTGTCTCCCGTCTCTATTCGTATAGGAGAAAATAAACTGGGAAAATTTCCTTTTGGTTGAAGAGCGATCGAATTTGAATAGTCCTTTAATTTCAGGGAAGCGACATCTCTTGATGATATGAGGGAGCTCTTCGGCTGAAAAGGCGGTGCTTCGACACAGAGAGAAGATGAACTCGTCGGAAGAGCGCAGACAATTTCGTCGTCTGCGGAAACGGAGATCCTTTCTCCCGAAATCCTGTGGATGAAAGTGCGGTTTGCGACATCAAGAATTAGGTTGCGACCGGGACCGTCGAAGAAGTCCCGTCCTAGGATTGGTCTCACAACGTCGCACTTCATGGCTCTGAATGCGTATGACTTTCCGAGGATTGGTACGATGATATCTGTCGAGCCGTACATGAGGATCGGGTTTCCGTTTGCCGATAAGAGACCAGAATCTTGCGCAGGAAGATTTCGTTCGCTAGTGATGATTGGAACGATAGTGACTGGAGATCCTGAATCTACTAAGAATTTTCCGACACGAAATGGTCTGATCTTGTGAAGAGGAGTTAGATTTGCACATACTTCTGAAGAAGAAAATGGAATCGGAGGATTCGGAGGAGGCCAGGCGTTTGAAGATTTGAAGGAATCCTGCTCCTTGGGGAGCATGAGAGGTTCCTTGATAGAATCGCCCGGAAGTGGATCTGCAGATGGAAGAGTGTGATTAGTAGATGGAGGAGGAATGGAGGAGGGTGATAAATGATTACGGCTGCCTTCTACCCTCGCGACGGCTTGCCGGCGTCGTTTCCCGATGTATTTTCACGAGGAAGAGGCAAACCTTTCGACCACAATAAACATTTTCCTTCTCCAGAACACGTTCTCGCGTTGTTCCCGAACCTTACATGGAAGCTGCATACCTTACTCCTGTTATTTTGTTTTCCAGGATTAGTACGGCTCTTGTTCTGGATGGCGCCGACAACGAAAGAATCCTGCTTCGCACGCTGCGTAAGTTGATCGGCTTCTCTTACGAGATCAACGAAACTTTTGGAGTCGAAGCCAGAGCCCGCCAGCTGCAGTCTCACGGATGATGGTGCATGTCGAAGAACGGTGAATTTGCGGATGTCGTCTAAGGAGAGATCATCGAAGAGTACCTCAATACGGGAGGCAAAGTGAGACAAGTTTTCCTCTGGACCAGGAGATGACTCCAGTAAGTACAACTTTGCCCTGTCGTACTTCGAAAGGGAAAACTCCGAGATGATCAGAGCTTTTGCCTGTGAGTAACTGTCGTCCGGTTTGCTTCTTGAGATGGACGTCAGGAGGTTGCTCGTCTGCGCATCGATGAGCCGAAGAAGAGCCGCGTATTGGATGTCTTCCTCTGTGATGCCCATTGCCTTAAAAACGATTTCTAAGTCATGGAACCAATTTTTGGTACCGCTCTTTTCCAGAGGACGAAAATCTACTTTTCTTAACTTAGAAGATGACAATGATGGTTTTTCCATTTTGACTGGAGGAGTGGGTACAGGAACAGGAGATGCGGCTTTGAGTTTGACAAGTACCTCGTCAGCGATTTTTGACGTGTTGTTGAACGAGGATTTAACGGAAAGGATTTTATCATCCTCCAGGTCTGTTGAGACTAGGAGCCAGGAAGAAAAGGAGCCTGTCAACTCCTCTATAAGAGACGAAACCTTTTCGAACATAGCAGCAGCCACTTCGGGCTTGTAGGTGTCTAGATTTTTGTCTGCAATTGCGAGGAGGGAATCTGTGCGTTCTTTAAGAGATTCAAATTGAATTGCTAAGAGCTTTTCCTTGTCGGGTCTTTTTTTGGTGGAAGCGGGCATTTTTCCGGGTTTGATGTAACGCCTCTAACAATTTTAAAATTCAGTGAATCTTGGCCGCGCAGGACCAACGACAGCGAAAATTTTGGTTTACAAAACCTTGGACAAGAAAAAAACTCAATGGACCAACGACGGAGATCAGCTCCGCTTGGTAGAAAGGCAATTTTTAAACGATTTTAAAACGATTTTGAATTTAGCGGCGAC